TTTTTTTTATACCATCCTGTACATTCAAGGTACCTAAACAGAAGGCAAATTAATAAAGGGCAGTTAGGATTTATTTTGAGGATGGATTCATTAAGTAAGAGGGGAGATCTTGCTTCAGAATAGCAGGAAAAGGGTTAAGTGAAAACAGAGAGTTTCAGCAGCTGAACAGATATCCTGCAGACAGTGTCCAACATGCTGCATATTTACATGAATGAGGTGCTTAGCATTTGTCACTGATCTGTGCCTGGTGTGCTGGATTCAACCGAAATGTAGAATAATATTTGAAAGGACTTCTAAAAGTTCAGTTCTCTGTACTGCTACTCCTTAGCGGGAGCATTCCTTCTGTGTCAAAATATAATCCCTAATATAGTGAGTAAAATACTGAGTTTTCTGAGGGATTTTTTCTCCCTTTAGGATTACTAACTCCTTTTTGTTATTCCTGTTCTTAACATCTTTGACCCCTTGTTTATTTTTTTCCTGTAGTCTCCTCAGTAGGGATGGAGGCTACACACTGATTGTATTTTCTCAAGTGCTGCTACTATTGTAAATGCAGCCTGATCAAAAAAACTTCTCTCTCCTCATCAAGACTTTCTAGAAATAAAAGAGCTGCTTTCAAACAAATTAAATATGTGAAAAATTCTGAAAGATGCAAGCAGTTGACACCAATAGGCTGGAAAGAAAACACATGAGAAGAATCCTTATGCCTACCATGCTTGACAGAATACAGGTTTTGACTTAGTCTTTGTACTAATTACATAAATTATTCTTAGCCTGTGTTCCCTATTCTATTTCCTAGACAGAATTAATTCTAAGAATGACTACATAGCCTAGATCACAGAAGTACAGAATGCCAGCTGTTGCACAAAGAAGCATTTCACTGTGATGAAGAAAGCATCAGCATTGCTTCTGCTAATGTTCAATATTCAAATACAGTTTTAAATGAAGACTTGCATGTAAATGCTGTGCTAGTGCAACAGCAGTGCTAGTGCAACACCATCCAGGAATGTCATATTCCCCTTTCCAACATGCTTCTATCTTTCTTCTTAAAGTTTTGAAATTGTGTATAATAAACCAGTTTTCTGAGAGGACCCCGAGTTAGTAAATGTTGCTGGATGGTGGAAAAGTATCTCCTGGTGAGCATGTCGCCTTCCTTTTCCTCTGGTGTACAGTGAGGTACTTATAAGATGGCAATTACCTACTGATACTGTCTCAGATACAGTGGAGATATTTCCTTTGTAAGGAGTATGAAGCTGGGGGGGAACAGGGGGGACTGTTTCTAACAGTAGAAGGAAGGACTGCTGGGAACAGCAGGTTCCTCAGATGGAGAATGACTGTGTAAAAAAGAAAAACCTAGAATAACTATGGCAGTGAACAGCTTCCTGAGAATGGAGGAGACAGGAAGTGGACAATTGGAAAACCATGAAGAAAGAAGGCAAAGTAAACCACATTCAAGAGGACAACAAGAGCCAAAACAAAGAAAAAACAAGATACCTTTAAAGCTTGGCCAGCTGAAGATGTGCCACCCAAGCTGTGCACAGGGTGTTACTCAAGGAAAATTGCATGCTAAGGGCACATTAACTGGCAAGTCACTCTTGCCATGTCTGCCTTCATGCTTTTCTTCCACGTAAGGAGCAAAGTGCCAGCAGACATTCACGTGTAGCATGTGTGCTTTAAGGGTATTGTTGACCAGGGGGGCCTGTCCATGCATTGTGTCAACTCTCCCCTGCACCATGCGGAAAAGTGACTGAAATAGCTCTGAACAGGCAAGTGATCACGTACAAACAGTGCTCAGAAGAATTGCAGACCAAGCAGCATGATCTCACGACCTCCCCAATGCTTCCCATCATTCACTGAAAGGTAACCCCCTGTTCAGCCCTTGGCTAGAACGCTTCCATATCTCCATGTCATGAGCACCAGGAAGCCCAGCACTGCCACATTCTTTTAACTGAAAAGCTGCCTGCTTTCCTGTTTCTGCCTCTTCCAATTGTGTTACATGGTATTGAGGGAGCACGTCACCATCCCTTAAGCAAAGAAATAATCCATGATCAGGAGATGATAGTGAAAAGTTTAAAAAGGAACCCACAAATCACTAAATGCTGCTCAATGGTATTATGTCCACCTGTGACAGGGAACAAATTAAAAAATCCTACTGTCACCCTTGCCAGTGGAAACAGCAGAAATTCCTCCTGTAGTACTATGGATGATAAGCTTTGGCAAGAGCAGGCAGAAACTGAGGAGGATGTCTTCCAGCTTCATTGGGCTCTGGTTTGAGAGTGCTAATGGATAACAGAGAAGGACAGAAACTCACCAGAAAACAGACTGCCATGCCATGGTGTTTTGCAGCATGTGCAAAAAGGCCTGTGCCTTCTATGATCTGCTAACACTGAAGTGCAGTTGTTCCTCTGCATCTATGTGGATATTATGTTCACATTACGTAAAGCAAAAACTTAATACTAATCTACACCTAATCTAAGTGAGAAAAAACTATACACAAGGAAAGAAAGCCTAACGAGGAAAGGCAGGGGGAAGAAAACTTAGAAAGCAGTAGGAGAAAAGGGATTCAGCCCAAGAGTTACGTAGCAATGCCCACAACAACAAAAAGAAATTTTAAGACTTAAAAACCCAAGCTGAATAGGAAAAAATGCTACATAAGTAAACCAAGAAGAAAATACTTATGTTCTTATTTTTTAAACTATCTAAATTACCACTTGGAAATTCTTAAATTTTATTTTCACTGGAGTGTAACTGCTTAGAGGAGATGAACGCTCTTCCTCTGAATGGTAGAAAGGAATACCAGATAATTAATAATTATCTTAACCTCCAATTTCCATAAAATGTTCCTTTTGATAGTCTTCTCTAACAGTTCTTGGTGGATTGTGGGCCAGTGGTGCATCAACAACTCGAACTACATGCTGGCATGACTATTTTAAAGTATATAATCACAATATTTATTTTTCCCCATGTGGTAAAATTTATTCTCTGCTGCATTTAACTTGCTTGAGGGATTAGTAGTCAGTTCAGGAACTATTTCCAGTACTGAAGTTTATGTACAAGGTTTGACTTACAAATGGGTATCACAACTGCCAATATAATTTTATTTCAAAGCTGTCAGGCAGGAGAGATTTTCCAATCTAGACAGCAGTTATAATCCACATTAAACTCTTCCAACACACTATTTGTAAAATAACACTGGAATACTATAAGGGCAGATAAAGTGAAGGCCAATGTTTTATAATATTAGACATTTGCTGGGATCATCAGGCTCCATCAACAAATAACAAACACAATTAAATGGAGACACCAGTCCTTACTGCCTCTCAGTTGTGCTGGCAGGCCAATGTCATGGGTGCAGAGGAGGATCCTCACTGATAAAAAATGACATCAGCTGCAGGACAAGCCTTTTTGATCTTCGAGACACACCGAAAACAGTGCCTTTGTCTCTGCCATTTCCTTTGTTTTACTGTTAAAACCCAAATAAAACCAAGCACTTTGTATTTTGCATGTATTTGTACCTGGCTGGAGGAATTTTCAGAGCATAAAATGACAAGCGTGAGAAGGAGAATGTGTTTCTGACCTGGCCCATAGATCTTCCACCTCACAAAGCATCAGTCCACCTCGATACCTTCATGGCTGCAGCCCCTCACCTCTCCTGTTGTTGCTTCCCTCTCCTTGTTGCTTCTCACACGTCAGCGGTTAAAACTGCTTCTTCCCTTCCCCGCTTTTATACTGGTCATGCTCCGCTTTCCAGTTCTGCCTCATTAGCTCTTATCAACTACGCTATTATGTCTCCATGGCAGCAGCCCATTCACCAAGCTAATAAAAAAATATTAGAGGAAGGGAAGGATCAGCCTGAGCACTGGAGACTTCAGCGGCCCTCGCTGGGTGTCACAGCACCAGGGACCTGAAGGCAGGGGCCGACAGGGGTCGGACCGGCTGTGGAGCTGCCTCGGGCACGAGCTTCAGCCCAGCGAACTCCCCGTTCTCTCATCCCGG